CCGCCGCAGGTATGTGGGCTCCCAGGACACAGCAGAAATGCCGCCCCTCTGGGCACCGTGCGAAAGGCACACGGCACGGCCGCTCGTCTGGGAACCCACTGTCTCCTCAGACAAGCCCATTTTTATCAAACAAAAACAAACAGCGATTTATGATTGCACCTGTTTCTGAGTATGCCAGGATTCTGGGCCGTTCCACCACCTCTGTCTGGCCAGGAAATAGCTGCATTTTTCTCCCAAGAACACAAAATGAATATTGGATTCTCACAAAAACCTCCTCCATAAAAGAAGGCCAAGTCCAAAGAACAGAGACTACAATGTCCTCAGGACCCCCACGGTAGGTGGCCCGGCCCCCAGACCCAAGCTGGAGCCCAAGTGATGGGGGGGTCTCCATGTCCCTCCCCTTTTTCTGTCCCAGAGATGTGGGCTGCACCTCATCACACCAGACATTCCAATTTCCCACAGCTGAGTTCATCTGCATCGTAAGCCTGCCCACCACAACACTCCCGGCACGAACTCACCCGAGACTATAATGAAGGGACGCTGTCACCCCTCTAGACCTGGGATGCCGAGTCCCTGCTGCTACAAAGCCTAGAGGCTGCAGACACGCCCTGAGGAGGGCTTGGGACAGTCACTCCCTGCAGGGGACCCCACCCCAACTCCAGGTTATGTCCTGACCCTTTCAAAGCTCCAAGACAGAGTATCAGCCATGAAAGACACGTGACTGGACCGCACACGCCCATCACTGTAACCCTCACAGCTACCCTGTGAGGACGCCATCGTGGTCCATTTTAGAGATGAGAACACACAGCACAGACAAGGGAAGCCCCTTGCCCAGGGTCACACAGTGTTGAATCTCCATTCCTAACCTGCACTCCTTCTCACCTCTTTCACAGAAAGGAAGCCTAGACTCCAAAAGAGCAGAGCCCTGGCCCCATCGCCCCACAGCCCAACCTGGGGGTCTCTCAACAGAGACTTGGAATGTCACTCAATCCAGATGCTGACTTGGGTCATGAGGATCCCAGCCGGGCGTAGTGGCTCATGCCTGTAATCCCAGCACTTTGGGAGGCCGAGGAGGGCAGATCACCTGAGGTCAGGAGTTCGAGACCGGCCTGACCAACATGGTGAAACCCCATCTCTACTAAAAAATACAAAAAATAGCCCGGCATGGTGGCGTGTGCCTGTAATCCCAGCTATTCGAGAGGCTGAGGCAGGAGAATGACCTGAACCTGGGAGGCAGAGGTTGCAGTGAGCTGAGATCAGGACACTGCACTACACTCCAGCCTGGACAACAGAGTGAGACTCTGTCTCAAAAAAAAAAAAAAAAAATCCCTCAAATCGGGCATGGAGGAGGTTCATACTTGTGATCCCCGGAATTTGACACCAGCCTGGCCAACAAAGCAAGATCCAGTCTTTATAAAAAAGAAAAAAAAGAAGATCCTGCCTCCTTCAGCACCGCTCCCACATCCACTAAGAATGGAAGCAATGCCCAGGCCTCAAGCTCGTGTAAGAGTCCCCTGCCCAGCCTGGCTCAAGAGGACCCCCACTCCGCCCACCTAGAGACTCCTGCACCAGACCCCAGAGAGTGGACAGAGGCGTGGCTGGGAGCTTCTCACCCAGAACACCCCAGCCACTCCGTTCCAGGGAGCAGAGGCCCATCCCGAGCACCAGGTGAGCACACACCTTCTGGAAGCCTCCAGCCCATCAAGGCAGGCTCAGAGTCAGCTCTGTCCCGGCTAGACCCCTGCAGCCCTCGGGCTGGCATCTCATCCCCATGGTCCACGTCCAGGCCCACACTCCTGTCCTACCCCCGAGGCTTGGGTCTGGGGGAAGAGTCGGGCGTCCAGGGACCAAGAGCCGACTGTGCCAGGCAGAGTGCAAGGAAACACCCACCCAGCTGGGGACCCTGGCCAGTCTCTCCCCGAGGCTGCCGGTCAGTCACATCCTGGTGATCCTAGCAGGGCCTGTGCCGGGCAGTGACCACTCCTGGCTTCACTACCATCTTCTAACAAGAGACCTCTGAATGTTGACTGGAAGGGCATAAAAAATGGAAACGGGAGGTGCCACGCCCAGCCTGGGTGGACAGACTGTGGGGGCCCCTCCCGGTCAGCCCCAACACCGCTGACCTTAGCTGACCCCATGCCCACTCACAGGCATGGAGTCTGAGGCTCTGGGGCCCATCTCCTTCTCACCAGGTTGACAGCCACCTCCATCCGCAGTGGCAGGACCAGCCTCTTGGCTCAGCCTCCGCAGTGGGGCTCCTGTTTCCTCTGACCTTTGTCCCCTCAGCCAGAGCCCCTGTGTCCGGAGCCGGATGTTTTCCTCCAACCCTCGGATGGGTGGGCAGGGAGAAGACGCCTCCCAGAAGCGGGAACGTGATGGGGGCCTGGGTCTGAGGAGGTGGGAATTGGGCCGCCCAGCTCTGCTGCAGGACACAGCCCTGAGGTCTTAGGACACCCTGTCCCCGCTTGGGCTGACCAGGACCCTGTCCCGCCAGATGAGACCCAGAGGCAGAGCCCTGGTCCCGGCTCCACCACTGCACAGAGCAAAGCAGGGGCCACTCCCGGAGGGGGAACTGGCCCTCATCCCCAATGTTGCACGGGCCAGAGGGTGCTGGAAGCCCCTAGGCCCCACCCAGCCTGCTCCGGGGGCCGGGGGAGGGAGGCAGCACTGCCCTGTAGGGCCAAGCCCTCCTATCCTTACCCCATGACAAGCCAGGGCGGGAAGGGTGGGGCCTGCCCAAGGCTGAGCCACGGGCTGAGAAACTCTCCCCACACCTCCAAGGCTCCCCCAACACCCAGAACTGACATGAGAATCTCTAATGAGAACAAGACCACAGGTATCCCGGACTCAGAGCTCACAAGGGCCTCCAACATACAACTTGGGAGGATGCCGAGGCCCACAGAAAGGCAGAGGCTGTGCCCCAGGGAGGCACACAGGACAGAGGGGACGGTGCTGGGCTCACGGCCGGGGCACCCGGGCCACCGGGACCTGGAGGCCCGAGTCAGGCCCTCCCTTCCCCTCCTTCCCTGACCCCCTGGCAGTAAATACCCTCTAAGGACAGAAGAATGCCCCAGACAAGCACCCGCAGGGCCCTGGGAAAAACTGGGGGCTTCGAAAGGGGATTGTGTGGCCTTGGAGATCCCGGGTAGTAAGATGTGGAATCTGCTTACTCAATACCCAGGCACCTCGGAGGACCAAGTCCCCAGAGGCCAAGATAATTCCCAGTTACGAGTCTAAAGTGCCTGGTCATGTGACGAGGAAACGGCCTGGCTGGCTGCAAAGTCCTTCGTGGAGAACCTTCTCCCCCTGCCCCATCTCCCTCCAGGAGCCTGGAGTCACAACAGTGGGGGGTGGGGGATGTGAAATAATTATTTTCTAAAGTCAAAGAATGGTTACTAATGTAACCCCAAAACTGAAATCCTCAAACATAATTTCAGTGATCCCATATTCCAGGAAGAGCAGGCTCAGTGGTCACCAAATCCTCAGCTGACTTGAGCCCAGGGGGTCTAGACCAGGCTGGGCAACACAGCGAGATCCCCAACTCTACAAAGAATTTTAAAATCAGCCAGGCGTGGTGGCGTGCACCTGTCATAGTCGGGCGGCTTAGGTGGGAGGATAGCTTCAGCCTGGGAGTCCGAGGCTGCAGCAAACTGTGATCGCACCACCACACTCCAGCCTGGGCAACAGAGCAAGACCCCGTGTCAAAAAAAAAAAAAAAAGTCCTCAGCTGAGGCCGAGCCAGGAGGCTCCAAGTCAAAGCAACAGCCTCCTGGACTAGGGGGGCCGCGCCCGCCTGCACCTGCTGCTCAAACGCGTGGGTCCCGCAGGTCAGGTGGGAGCATTAACAGCACTTTAAACCAACTGAAGACAGTTTCCAGGGAGAGGAGCCCTAAGAGAGCCCACCCCTCCCAGATGGGAGCCCTAGGGAGGTGTTAGGCCTCACAGAAGCCAGAAGATACCTTAGACACTCACCCTGCAACCCCGTCCCCAAAACTGGAGACTGATGCCCCAACAGGCAGGAAA